CCCGCCCGTCACCAAGGCCAGCAGCTTCAGTGGCATCTCCATCCTCACCCGGGGGGACAGCGTGGGGAGCAGCAAGGGCAGCACTGCCAGCAGGACGGCCCGGGCAGGTACAGAGCCGCTTCCCCAGGCAGGTCCAGCTCCCCTGCACGCCCGGGAGCTGGGGGCTTGTGGTGCCCTGGTTCCACGGCAGGACGTGGCTGGCACCGGGGTCTCGGTGCCTGGGCGTGGTTGTGCCACCTGACTGATGGCCTGCTTTGTCACCATCACCTCTGCCATCCCTCCATCCCTGGGATGAGGGACAGTGTTTGCTCCCAGCCCCTGCAGCTCAATCTCCCAGTTATCGTGGTTTTCCCTCCCCTGCTGTGCCCCAAGTTGGGTTGCCGTTCCCTTCTGCTCCCAAAATCCCTCCCAGCCCTGAGGATGCTCAGGGTGAACCTCCTGGCACCGTGCCTTGCTTTCCAAGGAGGGCAGGGAAAGGTGTCAGCAATTAGTCTCGTCAGACACAACTGTCAGACAAAGACTCTGTTAGTTGGGATCTGCCCACGACGTTCTCAGTGATTCACTGAGCTCCTGGGAGCAAACAGCAGCTGGAGCTGGGCCTGAGCCCCAGAGCTGCTGGGGGCTGTGCAAGGGTTTGGGAGCCAAAGGGAATTAGGATCCCAGGTCTCTGTGCAGGTAGCACAGAGCACAGCCCAGGGGGGATGTTCCTGGGGGTGTCACAGCTCCTGGCAGCAGCTTCCCAAGGGAGGTGTGTCCTGGGTGTTCCAGGGAATGTCTGTGCTCCCCTCGGACAGGGAGGAGCAGAACCCATCATTTTCAACCTGCTGCTTGTGAAGGGTGTTTGTGGAAGGGGCAACAGAGGTTTTGCTCCCATTTTAGTCTGGTGACAACTGGGGGAGCTGCTGATGTGTCAGTGAGCAGAATCCAGGGTTGTCCCACTGTCCTCTGTTCCTGCTGGTTGGCAGCAAGTCCCAAATCCTTGGGAACTGTCCCTTTCCTGAGGAGGAGAGGCAGAGCCTGGGTAATAACTGCTCTAAAAGAGTCCTTTCAACCAAAAAGGATGTATTTAAGAGGCTCCTGGACCGTGTCCCAGCACCCAGCCTTTGGAACCACACCCTCATGTCCCAGTTTGGAGGTGCCCACAGTGTCTCCCGGGATCCTGTTCCCATCGTGCCAGGGCTGTGCTCACTCTGGGTGTTCCAGCCACCTCCAGGACTGATTCATGGAGTGCTGGGAGCACTTATTTGAAGATCTGCCCCAACGTGTGCAGAGCAGAGCGAGAGAGGAGCTGCTTTTTGGCTCTTCCTGTAATTTTCCCTCCGGGTCTCCCCTGGGAACAGAAGCCAGTTGCTTTCCAGGCTTTATATAAGGGCAGATGATTGGAAACATCCTGGGAGAAAGAAAAAGAAATAGGCAAAGGAATTATCACTTGAGGAAGAAAAACACCAAACCCACCTTCCTCCATGTCCTTATGTTTATTCCATGGGTTTGGAAGTGCCTGGGACCTGGGGGCTCTTTTCCCATCACAGCATCCAGCCCCTGGGCAACTGTCAGTGGAATATTCCCTCCTTTGCAGCAAGTGGCTGCTGACAGAGCTCCTCAGCAGAATCCCCGGAGATCAGCTGGGGAAATGTGGGAGATCAGAGGCAGAATTGGTTAAGCAGCTGCTACTGGGCATGAAGCAATAGTTGCACAACCCTTTTATTTCTGGAAGTAAGACTGGAATGCTGAGGAGACCCTTCCCAGCCGGGTGCCAGCCGGGTGTGCCTCACACTCCTTCCCAGCTCTGCCTGCCATGGGAAGGGGTTGCCATTTCCCAGCCTTTTCCTCAGAGAGGAGGGGTCTGTGGGGCCATGGAACGGGGTCCCCACGGAACAGGGTCCCCACGGAACGGGGTCCCCACATTTCCCTCTCTGCTCTGGGCACTCAGGTTGGTGCTGGTGTCTGTTCCCAGAGCTGAGCTGGGACTGGAGCTCCCCAGCTCCTTCCCCCGATCCCGTGGTGCTGAGCTGACACAGGCACCCCTGGCAGCTCCCTGATTTTGGGATCCCTGCCCTGTTTGGGGGTGAGGAGC